TACCCGGATAATCTGGGGTAATCTTCTCAACTCGAGATCCTCAACGTGCTCACACTGCCCAGTCCCTCACCACTTATGGTGACATGTACAGGTGCCCGGGCAAGGAGAGGGCATGTCTTTGGGAGCCACTGCTCAGTCTCTCACACCCCACTTGTCCCCTTGTGACATCTATGCTCCTGCGCCACATGCTCTTAACTCTCTAGATGCAGCTCGGGCCCCACACGACATCACCGCTGCTGTCTTGCATGGTCACCACTCGGCACCTTTCCACACACATGGGCTTCCTCTGGCTCACTCCTTCCTCTGGGCTGTGGTCTGGGGCTGTTTCCTTCTGCTGCAGGATACTATTTAATATTTCTCTAAGTGAAAGTTTGATGGTGACAAACACTCTTGATATTTTAAGCACATTTTTTCCTGGACTTAGAACTTTAGGTTAGCAGTTAGTTACTCTCAGGACCTTGAAGTCTTCTTTTCACTGGCTTGGGGTTCCGGTAGCTCCTGCTCAGCATCAGTGCTCACTGTTACCATGTTGCACTTTGAAGGCAGCACATTGTCCCCTCTGACTCCTTTGGACACTCCCGTTTGTGTTTGCTCTCAGCTGATGGTTATGATGTGCTTATGTTTTGCTTTCCGTCTGTGTCTCCTTCTGGGTTTTGCAGCACGTCCTGACTCTGTGGCTTAATGTCTTTCATCACTTTTACAAAATTATCAGCTACTACCCCTTCAAGTACTGTTTCTGCCCCATTCTCCCTCTCATTTCCAGCTGGGAATTCAATTACACTATGTCAGACCTTTTCACCATGTCTGTTCTGCAGTTTCCATTATTTTTCTCTCCATGTTTCAGTGTCAACACTTTCTTTTCCCAATCTATCTCCTAGTTCCCGAATTCTCCCTTTAGTTGGGTCTGATCTGCTGATAAACCAATCCATTAAGATTTTATCATTTTTATTGACAAATGATTTACCTACAAGAAAATGGACCAATTTAAAATGTCTAATTCAATAACTTTTGACTATGTTTTCTTGAGATTTATATACTTTTTTCAACATTTTGAAAAATTGCAACTCACTGAAAATTTATGGTAATTAGTATATGCTTTTCACCCAGGTCCACCATTGCTTACAGTCTGTTAAACATTTGCTTTTATCTCACTATCTCTATAGGTAATCATATCACTGTTTTTTATTTTAATTTTAGGGCCATTTTGGGTACAGACATGTGACCTTTCACCTCTAAATACTTCAGCATGGATCCCAAAAGAACAAGTACATCTCCATTCACAATCATGATGCAATTAAGTCAGAATAATTTTGGAATTTGTCACTGGTAGAATATGAATTTTGTTACTTAGCCTCCCATGGATTTGTCACCCCTTTTCCTCTGGGTGACGGAGCTGCCAAAGATTACTCAAAGCCCATCTCTTCTGAGCAGTGAGAAGCCCCAGAAAGGGGTTAATCTCCCAGAACCCTCAAGATAGAGGCATTCCTTCCATTTGGGAAATTAACCATGAGTTGAGGTTCTCTTTCCACATTTATTCTCCAGACCAGTAAGTTACAGAAAGAGAACATAGGTGGGAGTTTTGCTAAGTATAGTTTAACAAGTTTAATAATAGAAGCTGGTAACATTCAGTAAGACAGGCAAAGTGACCTTCCATAATGCAATTTGCAACAAAAGCTTGACCTTAGCAAACATTCTCTTCTTACAGCAATTTCCCAGTATCTTTACATATCAATCAGTAACCTGTCTGTCCTTGAGGCAGCAACCTTGCTGTGTTACAATTCTTTATCTTACAGCAGAGACTATATGGCCTGGGCAAAATTTCCTGTCCTTTGCAAGGTCAATATTTGAAATTGCAAGCCTTTGAAAAACCAGGCCCTGTGAAGTACATTTGTTTTATGCATACTCCACAAAATTGGTAGAATTAACAAATTTGGAATTTGTCATTGGTAGAATTTTATTATGTAACATATAGTGTGTGTTCTAAGTCATGAATTGTGCCAGTCATGCCCTTTATACTCATTTTTTCCTGATTCAGGATCTACTCCAGTATCATACATTAAAGTTTTTTTTTTTTTTTTTTTTTTAAAGATGACCAGGAAGGGGATCTAAACCCTTGACTTGGTGTTGTCAGCACCACACTCAACCAGTGAGTGAACCAGCCATCCCTATATAGGATCCAAACCCATGACCTTGGTGTTATCAGCACTGCACTCTGCCAAGTGAGCCACAGACCAGCCCAAAATCTTTTTTTTTTTTAAATCTCCCTCCAGGAAAGACTTATTTTTCTATTTTTCCTGATCAAGTATCTATTCCAGCATTACCTGTTAAAGGTTTTTGTTTGTTTTATCTTCCTGAGGGAAGACTTACTTTTCTTCTGGCAGGTGGCTAGGTGAATAGGCCACCTTAGTTCACTCAGGGTCTGAGGTGACTCCAGACTGGACCTCAGTCCTGCCTCTGGCTCCCCTTCACTGTTGGAGTACAGCCCTTCGACACCTCATGTGTTTTCCAGGGCCTCTGCCTGAACTGTGACTCTTGTCCTGTGGCCCACATGAGTCTGCTAAAACTTGGCACAGCTTCTCAACCATTTATTTCTTGACTGAAAATCCCCTCCGGTTCCAAATGCTGGCCCCACTATCTGCGAAACCTTTCCTCCCCTGTCTTGGCCCTGCAAATCCTTGCTGCCTTTTGAGCTCTCTAGCGCTTCAAGCAGATCTTTGTGCTACACTGTCCAGTGGGACTCGTTGTTTTGTTTTGTATTACATTTTTTCCTTTCTGCTGGTTTGGGATTTATACACTCTATTTCTCTTTTAAATGGGTAATCATGACATTTTACCTTGAAGTGTCAACATAAGATGACCTAATGTTAACAGTGTCTTAACTCCTCTCCCCAAAATAAAAAGGCCACAGAACAATGTAACTCTAATAATGCTCTTCCAAATTCACAGGCCACTACTGTCTGATATTTTACTTCTCTTCTTATTAGGCTGTTCTTTTCATGATTATTACATACAACGTTTCATTGGAGTCACATATGTACACTGAACTACTCTTGCAGGGTGACTTTCCTTCCTGCTAAAGAACGCACTTAGAAACCCCCTTCGTATGGTTATCTTGGGGAGACTATCGGTGTTCTTTGACCTCCAAGTGTATTTATCTAACCCTCCTACTTGCAAACTAGTTTTGCCAGGTGCAGGATTCTTTCCCTCAAGCTGTTACAGACCTTCCACTGTCCTCTGGCTTCACGTCATTGCTGACAACTCTGCTGTCTGTCTGACTGTCCTTCCCTCCCAGGTGATCTGACCTTCTTCTCTGGTTGCTTTCCAAATCTTGTTGCGGTCTTTGTGGCAGGCAGTCTTGCTACATGTCTAGATGAGAATCACTTCTTATTTATCCTCCTGGGCACACACTGTCCTTTCTGCTTCTATGGACTTGGGTTTCCCATTAAGTGATTTCTTCACATTTTGTCTCTACTGCACGATCTGGATTCTCTCCTGGGACTCTCCTTAGACACTTCTGTTTATTCTCCTGAACACTTAACACTTCTTTATTATTTTCTTGGCTCTTTGCTATCTTTTGGGTGATTTCTTCAGACATGTCTTCTTCTCTAGGTCTGTCTCCAGCTGTGTGCAGTTGGCTGTCGAACCACCCACTGAGCTTTTTGTTTCAATAAATGCATTTCATTTCAGAAATGCCACGTGGCGGGGGGAGGGCGGAGGCTCCTCCTTTAGCTGACACTTGTGTGGGGCTTTGTTGTGGGTCCCCTTCTTTTCTCCATTTATAACATTTTCCTTTAACTGGCTGTGTACTCATGATCTGCAGTTTAAGATCGCCGACCTAAGGAGCTGGTAACATCGGTTGACTCCAGGGAAGGGATGCTGCTGTTTGGGGTTAGACGGTACAGGGACAGGGGCTTTTCACCCTGTTGTGAAACTTTTGATTGTTGAAGTCCATGATTCCATAACATACAGCGTGCATGTACACAATTCAAAATTTAAACATTTGCACTCTGACCCCACCACTCTCTGACATCAGGCCAGGCCCTCCAGTTTGCTTTTCAAAGGTAGGGTGTCCCCTGGCCACACCTGTACCTTTAACAACCATCCCAATCTCAGAAAAGGCACATTCCCCCAGCTGCTCTGGCCAAAACCCTCGGGGTCACCTTCGACTGCTTTCTCTTGCCCCCTCCAATCCACCAGCCAGTCCTAGTGCTCCACCTTCCAAGGTCCCGCACATCTGCCACCTTCTAGCTATCGCGGGACGGAGCCACCAGTGGTCCCTTGAGGCCACTCCGGGGCCCCCAGAGCTACCAGCCCGCAGCACGGACAAGACGGCCACGGCTCAGAGCCCCGAAGCGCCACGTCTTCTCCTGAGCGCTCCGCTGCGCTCAGTCACCGGCCCTCGCTGCACGCGGGAGACCACGCTCGGCGGCGACGTCAAGGCGGGGCGGGACCTGCCCGGAAG